TGATCTTCCCCACTTCCAGCTCAGACTGCCCCAATCCCCATCTTAGTTCGACAACTCAAATCTGCACTCCGAGAGTCCGACATGCGCTCTATCTCATCATCACATCAAGCCGAGCGTCTTTTGATGTGGATTCTAGTCATTGGTGGTGCCGCCGCCAGAGATGTACCAGAAGAGCGAGTGTGGTTCGTTGCTGCCCTTAGAAGACTGACTTCGCCGCTCGGGATCAAAAAGTTTGAGGATCTGAAGCAGGCAGTTTTAAAGCGTATCCTGTGGCTGGATCGGGCATGTGACGCCGCAGGAAAAACGCTATGGGCGGAGGTTTCGGCCCTGGGTGGCTGATGGACAGTGGGAGAAGAGGGATTAGAGGGCACAAGAGCGTTAAACAAAGAAATCTCAACCAGATATCCTCAGATCTTTGGGGCCTTGGCAAATACCGTCCTCGGCCATATTGATGCATCAAGTTAGAATTAACTGCTGTGGTATATACGTGCGAGCCTAAAGGTAGATCTAAAGCAGATCCTGCTAGGGATGATGCGTCAATTACTCTTTTCGGGCACCGCGCAAGACTACTAACAGCCCACAAGGCGATGATGACTGAGCCGGACAATGGTATTGGTTCGTTTGCCTGGGGGAATTTGTGCAATCCTGGCGGCATAGACGAAGTGTTCCACAATGATAGGCACCCGTGGCACTGAAAGGAGCGACGACCCTATATGGTTGTAACCCGATTGGGTTGGGACGGTGACTCCTTCCAAATTGAGATGGAGCGCAGCCACAAGACGCGGCGCCAGATCGAAAATGGCGTTTGCAGAATAGAATCCCACCCTGTCGGAGAGCAAGTCCATTCGCAACCTGCATCGCCTGAATCGCCCTACGGAGATCAGAAGTCCTCGTACTCGTATACGGCAGGTGAGTGGCCACGGTGTTAGTCAACGAAGAGAGCCTTGCTGACGCACCACAGTCTACGCGAACCCTGAATCTCGGATCAAACCGACCCGTCGCGCAGTGGATATCCTTCCAAGGCACACATATAGAGAGACACAAGACACACCCATCAGACGAACCCCCCTCTCCACCAAGTGTCACTCCTAGGCGAGATGAGTCAACTATCGAGCTTACCAGATCAGGCATGCACAGAGATATTGATCTGCCTCGAACCTCGCTTGGTTCCGACACTCTAGCTCTGGGGTGTCTTCCCTCACAATACAGTACATGCTCGTTTCGGCTAGTCGCACAGTTAGAACAACCAAGCTCATAACATCAGCATAATCTACCATGCGCAACCGCACGACGCCCAGATGCCATCTGAATGGTACGACTACCTTCGGTCATGGAGCGTCGCCGGGCCAGTCCCGACGGTGGCGAAATATAAAGCCCTACTCCTCCTTGCCTACGTGGTCATCAGCTGCGTCGTCAATTGAATCCCGGAATCGATGATCGCACAAGGTCTATCTGCGGGTGGGACTAGGACATACAATGTATCTTTCACAGGAGCCCTGCGCGCGGATCCACGCTCGAGGCTTCCATGATCCGATCCCTGCCAAGGACGTCACCGACTCAGACATGGTCGCTGGCTGTGGCTTTGATTCGTACTCTGTTGCCGACATACCTTGGTGTGGTAAGGAAAATGGCTTGCAAATTGTCCCCGCTACGGAGAGTCGATACCCGGAACTTGATTTTCCCGAGACGGTATGCAAGTCTTTGCTCTGAGTCCTGTTGTTAGGTCCTAAGCTAATTTCTGATCTAGTATACGCAGGCATGGAGTGACATTAATTGGGGTGGGATACCCCCATCTATCGTTCTCCCGCCGAGTGAACCCTTCCAGAATCCATCTTCAGTGTCTGTCAACGGAAGGGATCCAAATTCGGCGACGGCCACTGGCCTAGGACCTAGTGATAAAGCGACTGAGGAACTGAAAGCTCAGGCAAGATTGGTAGGTCCAGACAGAGGTACGATATCATTGGGAGTCGCCGAGATTGATCATGGATATCCGTCACTCTAGGAGCGCCGTCGTGCCCAAAATCGTGTATCGCAACAGGCATTCCGTGCTCGCAAAGAAAGCCACATCAAGGCGCTTGAACACGGCCTTGGGGCAATGAAGATCGAACACGATACTTTGCTCAAGAAGCATGCGCGCAGACGGGCCGAGATCGATCGACTGAAGACGAGAGTTGCAGAACTTGGTCTTGAGATCGATCTCTTGTTGGGCACTCAAAGATATGTTGAAGCTACAGCAAACTTGAGTCTGGATTGTGTCGGGAACGACGTTTAATGATTCACCCTTTGTGAATAGTGGCGGGCCTAACGTATGAAGGGGATGCACAGAGACCTCTGATGTCAAGACGATCAGGGTCGAAACCCTCTGAACCGAGAGACGTTGCTGATACATGGGGGTGAGGCCACCCGTCCGCGTCTCTGCTCACTCCGCTCTTTGCAAACCGTCTGCACTTTTGCAAGGTTTGCGGGTGTTTGTGCCAATCTAATCATGGGTCATTTCCCGAGCCGAGCAAACTGCAAGTCAATCGCTGTCGGATACAGTTGTTATCAGTTCAGCCTTCCACTCATTTGACGGACGAAGCAAGAGGCGAGACACCAACCTTCGTGGATCAAAACTGCCGTTTAAATCCGAAAGGAGCAGAAACATCGCGAGGCTAGACGCCGGGGTTAGGAGATATGCAGGGGACCCCGCATTGCCAAACGTCGAATTTGTGGCCTTCATCAGGAGCATTTCATCCATTGAGGTGGCAAGGACAGAAGAGAAAGATACAAATACTCATCATGGACCAGACCAAACGAAAGCGAAGGGAAAGCTTCAGACGCCATTTTTTAGGCTTACCTTCTGATACCTATCCACGATGACTGCAACAACCCATCCGGAATACAACAAGAATACAGAAGCCTTGGATGTCGCAAAAGCATTTCCTGAAGCCATTCGAGGGAAAACAATCCTCATTACTGGAGTGAATCGCAAGGGCATTGGCTTCGCTACCGCACAGGCTTTTGCGTCGCAGTCCCCCGCTCATCTGATCCTTGCAGGACGCAATATTTCCAAACTTCAAGAGTGTGTAGATGAGCTCAAGCAACGATGGCCGGACGTCGATTATCGCCCGCTGATACTCGACCTTTCCAGCCAGAAGGCTGTTCGAACTGCGGCAAAGGAAGTCCTTTCGTGGAGCGACATTCCACTCATCAATGTGGTTGTGAACAACGCGGCCGTTGCGGCAATACCGGAGCGCACGATCACTGAAGATGGCATTGAGCTTAACTTCGCCACAAACCACATTGGGCACTTCCTGTTTATCTGCCTCATTATGCCAAAGCTCCTCGAAGCAGCAAATACCGAGCCGAAAGGAACAACGCGTGTGGTCAACGTGAGTTCCGCGGCCGCCGAATGGAACGGTGTTCGATGGACCGACGTCAACTTCAATAAGAGATCCAAAGACCTTCCCATGGAAGAGCGCCCGAACTACACGGTTCTCGAACGATGGGGAATCCATGACGGCCCAGACAGGTCGTATGTCCCGATCGAGGCATATTTTCAGAGCAAAGCAGCCAATGTACTTTTCGGTACGGGGCTTACCAAACGGTTGTACGAAAGTCACGGCATATTGAGTCTCAGCGTTCACCCTGGAGTCATTGAAACGGAGCTGTCGAGACATTCTTCCAAGGAAGAGAAGGATGCCATCTCAGCGAGGGCACAGAAGGGCGAGTTTAAGTACAAAACGTTAGGGGCAGGGGCCGCAACGAGCCTTGTTGCAGCCTTAGATCCCAAACTAGGCGCCAGTGAGATCAAAGATGGCAAAGAGGGATGGGGAGCGTATCTTAAGGACTGTCAAATATCCCATGACGCGCATCCTCGAGCTGTATCGAGCGAGGAGGCGGAAAAGTTATGGAAGTTATCAGAAGACCTTGTTGGGGAGAAGTTTTCCTGGTGACGGCGACATGTTGGGTAAGGCGATGACGTTTTCAGCATCGTCTACTGCCACAGAATTGTACTTGCTCTCGATACCTTTCCCATTGATCACATTGAAGAATGAGTTCGAGTAGAAATCGGATCTTGGTCGAGGTGTTGATGTGTCTAATCTGTAAAAGCGGCGGAATTTGCCAAGCCAAAAAGGGCGATGACCATCTGGAACATTTCGTTGCTCGATTCCCCCCTTCAACTCTGCTTCTTCCTGCTGTGTAACTAAATGCACAAGGCATGCTTATTCACATCTCAGTCCTTTCCAAGGCCACTGCACTCTCTGCCACGGACTCCACAGGTGAATAGACTCGTCAGTCTCTCCTTCCCAGCAACATTTCTCCGCGGCCTTCATCGCTGTGGCTCCAGCACTCCCACATTGAACTGGCCACCAGAAAATGCAGTAGCGATTCGCCGCGCTTTTTCATCACGCAGATCAGTTGGCGCCAGGAGCAATATGTCGGTAGCTGAAGAGGAGAAGAAAAGTGGCGTCAGGGTCGCTGTCGAGGGTTGTGTGAGTGACTTGGTAGTGGAGTTTTGTGACCGGTTCCTAACATTCCGATCTAGGGCCATGGAACACTTCATGCCATCTACGCTTCAGTAGAAGAGTCTTGTCGTGTAAAGGGATGGGATGGTGTTGATTTGCTGATAATCGGAGGTGATTTTCAGGTCAGAATCGCCATATGCATAATCCTCAGGGTGGCTAATGGATATTAGGCAGTAAGAAACCAACATGACCTCAATGTGACGGCCATGCCCGTAAAATACCGACGCATGGCAGACTTCCATGAGTACTACAGTGGTACCCGAACTGCGCCGTACCTTACCATCTTCATCGGAGGGAATCATGAAGCAAGCAACCATCTCTTTGAACTCTATTATGGCGGATGGGTCGCACCAAACATCTACTACCTGGGAGCTGCCAATGTCATCCGATTGGGACCCCTCAGAATCGCTGGGCTGACTGGAATTTGGAAAGGATACGACTACCGCAAACCTCACTTCGAGCGCCTTCCATACAATCAGGAGGATATAAACAGCATCTATCATGTTCGAGAGATCGATGTCAGAAAACTGTTGTCTCTCCGGTCCCAGGTCGATATTGGCCTTTCGCATGACTGGCCACAAGGAGTCGAACACCACGGAGACTATAAATGGCTCTTCCGGAAAAGACGCGACTTCGAGGCCGACTCATCGGTTGGGAAGCTTGGGAGCGCAGCTGCACGACAGTGTTTGGATCGACTGCGGCCGCCGTATTGGTTCTCGGCACATCTCCACACTAAGTATGCTGCCGTATACTCACACGAGGAGAGTGAGGTATCCCAACATGGAAGCTTTCGTTCGGCTGGCGGTTTCATCGAAGAACTCTCCGGCAATGTCACTCCACGCCCAGAAGACCGACAACAAGTGTCAGCATGGCAACAATTCCAGGATCCTGCTCAGCAAGACGATGCCGAACAAAGAGCCACGATTTCAGAGGACCAAGAGACGAAACTGCAACAAGAAGGACAACCTGGTGCCGCTTCTACTCCCCAATACTCATATGATGAGACGTTCAACAAAATCGGCAGGGAAAACGGTCTCGAGCGTACGGTGCTGATGACATCTCGAAGTCGATTCTCTTCGGAGGATCCGGACCCAATTCCCAATCTCGACGGGTGCTTCTACTCAAGACCTTCCAAAAGACAGCGCGTAGAAACTGGGCCATCAGATCCTGCATCGGATCTGCCTAGCACCGAAAATCGAGCAGACACCACTGGGGATCAATTGGATGGCGCTAAAGCGAGTGTGCCTGAACCCGCCAAACCCGTGGTGGCCAACCCAGACGCCATCGATATTGACATGAGCGACGACGACGAGTCTACCACGGTAGCCATTGAGGACACAGCTGCATCTCGAAGCAAGCCTCTTCAAATCTCTAGTGAGACAGCTAAAAACGCCGATATTGATACAGTTAAGAAACATGACATCTCCCACAGTCTATCAGAAGAGAGCGAGGATGGTGGCGTCAAGCTGAATACGCCTTCCTCACCCTTCACTCCAATGCCCAGCATCTCTTCCCTGCGACACGAAGTACACAGCTCACATGATTCGATCGAGTCATCCACGACATTGTCTGATGCCGAACAGAAGCCACCTTCCGCACCGTTCGATTCACAACCGCTTCCCAGCCGAAGTGCCGGAGGCCTTCCAGAACAGTCTCACAGTGACAAGAAACCAGACACGGAGCCGCAGGTGGTGCAAAGCAACGACGATGTGCCCCAGGAATTAAAAGACCAGCTGGCGGCGCTATCACACAATTTCGTCAAGAAGGCACCAGTTGAAGTCTCTGCACCACTACCATTTCCGGAGGACATCACCAACAAAACGACCTACTTCCTGGCCCTTGGAAAATGCGAAATGTACCAGGAATTTCTCCAGCTTCTTGAAATCCAATCGATAACATCCCCTGAGGAGGAGATCAAACGCCCTCTCAAGCTTTCCTACGACCCAGAATGGCTCGCAATCCAACGAGTGTTTGCCTCTGAGCTCCAACTCGGCGGGTCTCCCAAGGACAGAGTTCCACAACACCGCGGAGACACGTACTACCGTGACCGAATCACGGAGGAGCAGGAATGGGTCACTGAGCACGTAGTCAAGCCAGGTAAACTGCAAGTTCCGGAGAACTTCAGTGTAACAGCCCCCTTGTATGACCCACGTCTACAGGTCGCGCCAGAGGAGATGCCGCGCGAGGTGACGAACCCGCAGACGAGCACGTACTGCGACTTGATTGGGATCGAAAACAAATTCGACATGAGTGAACAAGAGAGAGATTCCCGGGTGCAGCAGGGCCCGAGACCCGAGAGTTCTGAGTTCCAGGCATACCACAACCGCCCACGTGAGCATGGACAAGGCGGGGGGAGGGGTCGTGGAAATCATCGCCGCGGCGGTGGTGGAGGAGGCAACAGAGCGAGAGGGAGAGGGAGGGGAAGAGGACGACGATTTTAGAATGGGGACAGAGAAAAAATGGGGGAGTTGGAAGGCGAAGGACGTGTCCAATGCTGGACGGACTGTCCGACTAACCGACAATGAAGGAGTTTTATTTGGTCAGCCGCTGGCCTTATTCTTCGTTTGAACAGGAACTAAAGGCCAGATTCGGGCACAGCACTGCATTGCATTGCAGGTTGCACCTTTTGTCATTCGATTTTGTGTATAATAGAAAAGACACGTCAGAATCTGATACCCAAGACAAGGAGAGCAGAATGGGGATTGATTGATGATTCATTCCTACACCATCGGAACAGATTTGTGAAGGCGGGCGGAAGTGATCTCCATAGTCTCCCTAGCTAGACCAATGCTCGCTTCCGATCTGCGGACTATATTATTAGTATCTCGTACAGCCCAAGATAGAAGCTGAATTTTTGTGATGAATGATATACATCAATCGGACCAATTCATTCCGCGGCTATGGCTACGGGGACATCAACAACGGTATCGACGGCGCCATTACTCACCGGCGCAGCGACACGAGCATGCTTTCTCCCCTTCGTAGCACCACCACCTTGCGCAGGCGTCTTGTCCAGCCTATCCAGCCGGCGCAGCAACTGTTTCTTCCACGTCTCGAAGTCGCGCGTGCGCTCGGCGCTCAGCAGGTCGAGCGCGTCTTGCATCATGGTCGCCAGGCCCGGGAGGAGGACGCCGTCTGGGTCGTCGTCTTCTTCGTCTTCCTCGTTCATTGTGTTGTCCGCTTTCCTTCCTCGTGCGGTATCTGCGGGGATCCTGCGTCTTCTGCAACTCGAGAGGATCGGATCTTCTTGATCGTCGTCGTCGTTGTCGCTCTCATCTGCGTCGAGTCGACCTCTGAAGTTTTGTGTCGCACGGTGACCACCGCCATCATCGTCGTCGACGACGGTAGGATCAAAGTCAAAGACTTTCTCCGGCACGCTGGCCCACCAGTCCTGGCCCCGACAGAATCCCTCGCGGTTGATCCGGCGGATCCATTCCTCCACGCCTTTCGTCCCTGGATTGTATCCCAGGACCTGCACGGCCCGCGCGCACGTGGTCTTGTACACGGAAGTGGTCATCTTTGCGGTCTGCATGCGCGTCAACGTCATGAGGAACAGCGCTGTCAAGAGGCCCGTCACGGTTTCTTGGAGGGGCCTCCCATCCACTGGGGCTGCTGGGTCGTCCTCGTCCGGTGGTGGCCACAGACCGCTCAGTTTCAGCACGATGCAGGTGCCGGTGTAGACGTGCGGGGCGAGCAGAGGTGTCGAGAAGGTTTTGCACAGTTTGCGGATCGAGGGCATCGTGTAGGCTGGCGCTTCGCCGTCGTTCTCACCCTCACCCTCACCCTCGCCCTTGCGCTTCGCGCTCGCCTTGATCTTTCCCAAAAAATCGCTTCGTCGTCGTCCCGTAGACTTTGTCGGCGTGGCCGCCGTCTCACTGTCCAGTCCCGTCTGCTTTAGCGATCCATCTGCATTTCTCTTCCTCCCACCCGGCGTCGATTTGGGCGTTGTTGTTGTTGTTGTTGCGGTACCATCCTCATCCAACACCCTCTCCAAGAACGCCACCAGCTTTTTATACGCCGCCGGCTTGCATGGTGCTCCGCCCGTCTTGACCGCCGGCAAGCGACACTTGGCCCTGAGCCGGGTGCAGGCGATCTCGCAGCATGCGTAGGCCCGGGCGATCTCTTCGTCGGGTTTCAGGTGCGAGGCCCGCTGGCGGGACTGCGCGAGGAGCGATTCGCACAGGTGCACGAGCGGCGCGGCGTGGGCGTGCGTGGGGAGCAGGCTGTTGAGGGATTGTTGGACGGCGGCGGAGGAGGAGGACGAAGGCATGCGTCTAGTCTTTAGTAGAGACTCTCTACCTAGGTAGGTACTAAGGTAGGTTTTGTCGGGCTGGTGACACGACGCGACGGGGGTGCAGAGCAGATTGGGGAGATACAGGAATTGAAGGGGTAGGATGATGGTCAATTCCTAGGTACTAATAGCTAGATTTCTTTGCGCTGGTGCTTTTTCCATTGATACACATTTTGTGTAGGATCGGAAGACGTAATTACGGGGTACAGGCGCGTCGTGAGCATCCTAAGCGCGTCTACCTATGTACATACGTAGGGAGGATTTGGCGCGGAAATTTTGCCGCTATTACACCACAATGGTACCTTGCGAGTAAGCTCCTCACGTCTTCTATCCACAACTCGGGCACTCGAGGTACTCGGTACAGTCTTTGAAGTGACAGATCATCACCATCTTCCATGGTTTGTCCCGCGTCATCAACGCTCTACCTTCGAACTAGGCCATTCCCATCTGTTCAACAGGTGCGTAATGATGAAACAATTGCGCGCATTTACAGTCACCGCTGGTGTCTGAGGGGCTCGACTTATCTCGAATCAAGGACCCCAGTGAACATTGTGGCGCCCACCACCTGGAGACTCCATGTTGGTGTAACCCGTACACGTACATATCTGTCCAGCTTCTCCTCTCTTTGTTTCTCGGGTGGCCTGTGTTCATAGCGCTCTAAAAACTGCGCCAAACACATCCCCTGTCACGGGGGGAAGGCCTCGAGCCGCAACCTGGGCAGGGACGTTGTCGGAGCCTGGATGGACTAGGCCTTTCCAGAACGGTTGTTGACATGCGGTATCCCTGTTGCAAAGACACGTTATGAGTGCTGAAATTAGCTCGAATTCTCGACTCATGCAGCGGCAGTAGGGGCACATCTACCCCATAGATTGAAAGCCAGGGCGAGGTGTGATGGGGTACGAATGGGCGAGAATAAAACATACCGGTAAAGATCGACCTTAACGTCCTTGTCGGGTCCAATTGACGCCCAACCGCCGTGCGATGTGACGATGCCACATTGGTTGTAGGAGGAGGAGCTAATGGGTGTCCAGAAACAGGTGCCTCCCCAGTGCGGATATTGGCAGATGTAGATCTAACAATGACAGTTAGTCAGTCGGCATTCCAGACCCTGGCAACCTTCTCAGGAGTGTCTCGACTTGTGTACGCGACAAAAGCCGAAAGAATTCCGCAAGAATCTGGGACCAAGATAGGGAGGTAGTGAGGTCAACTTACACCGTTGACGGCTCGATCACTCAGTTTCCGTGGTGAAGTCTCGCCAGGGAGCGCGTCGGTGACATTGAAGAGGATTCCATTTTCGGCGGCAGAAAATGGCACAGAACTTAGCAGGCCGAGCACAAAGGTGCACAGCGAGACATAGAGGGATCTCATCGTTGAAGTCGAGTGAAACTAGAAGGACTCGGACAGAATATGACAAGAGTCAGGTGGACGTCCTCACTCGAAAGTCAGGGAGGAGTTCGACGGTGCCAGCTTGGAGCGAGAGGGAGGGAGACAATAGGAGATAAAGAGAAAGGGAGGAGAAGAACAAGAACACGAAACTACTTTTGCGCCTCATTGTTTCCTGCATGCGTCACTGCGAAATTCACCATGACAAAGAGGCACGCGGTGAATGGGGGATTCAATGAAAAAGCAAGAAAAGTCACACAGCGCATGTTGGATGATTCAATGTATATTTCCTTCCCTTCTGCCCTGCCACTTTGATCCCACCACCAGACATTTACCGACGGGGGACAAGTGTTGACACGTTCTTCCTAATCTGCCCATGAGTATCTTTACTCTTCCCATAACACCTTGACAGTGTCTTATCAAGCCCCTTTGGTTTATGGCATGTAAACACTCATCTCCAGCCCATTCGTGTATGGCAAGGTCAGATTTCTGAACCCACTGGCCGGATCCCGCATGTAGTCCAGCAGCTCCTTGTATCTGTCAGCCGCACTGATCGTGTTGTCTGCAATGACCACGGCGCCGCGGCGCATCCGGGGCTGGCACAATTTCACGACGGGTAACGCCATGGGAGTCCAGACTGGTGCCCGCGGTGTGGATCTTGTCAGTTTGTGTGTCCATGATGCAGGAAACATGCTAACAAATCACAAGTTGTGGGGGCGGGATTTGAAGATGGCATTGCAAGGCTGACTCCGACCAGCGAGCTTGCCTCAGAATGAAGAGGGAGATACAGAGAGGAAGTAAAAGAGAGATGATGGAGAGAAGGGAAACGCGAGAGAAGGACAGAAGAGCTTACTGTCCAACAAAAGCAGGTCAATCTCAGGCAGTCCCTCCTTGAGCGTCTCGCGGATATCGCCCTCGCGCAGCTCAATGCAGCCCGTCACCTCATCGCCCGCCTCTTTCCAATGCTGGCGCGCCTTGTCCGCCTTGGTCTTTTCATACTCTGTCGCGATGACGACCCCTCCTTTACCACCGCCTCCGGCTTTCTTGATATTCTCCGACACCGCTAGCGCGAGGTAGATGGTGCTGACGCCGAAGCTGGTCCCGGCCTCGACGACGTTCCTGGCCCCAATGGCACAGCAGAGCTGGTACACAAACTCGGACTTGTCGCGATCCAGCGCGATGAACTTGTCCCTCATGTAGTTGTGGAAGCCTTGCGCCTCGAGCTCCGCAGGCTCGATCGCATCTTCTTGCACCCGCGACGCCCGATGCAGTCGATCCAGCAGCGACAGAACGTGCGGCGGGGCTCGGACCGGCGAGGGATATGTGACCGAAGAAGAATCAGAAGAAGATGCCATATTTGCCTGGTGCCTGTTTATCTATCCCTTTGTCGATAACGCTCTCTCTCTCACTCACTCTCAGACAGAGATGAAAGCACTCACGGGGTGAAAATATGGGCAAAGCAAAGCAATGGAACTTTTCACTCATGAGTCATCGAGGCAGTGTCCTGGCGAAAATGCTGCATCGTCTCGATCTTTTGACTCCTCGTTCCACATGGTTCTGCTTTGATAACTCCTCGGACGACCGAGTATCGGAGTGTGGCCAGAGGATACTAGCCACATTCGGGAAAACATTAGGCAATTGTTTAGGTAAAAAGGAGGGTTAGGCGGAGGCGGAGGGGGTTGACTTTACAGCCTTGTGTGGGGTAAGCATCCTGTTTGTGCTACGTACAAACCCGGCACAACGTGGACCTTGAATATACTGCGTTCC